CAGCAGGAAGAACTGCTTTGGGGGCTGGTTTTGGCTTTTTGGACAGTTCAGTAACATTTTGGAAAGGTCCGCCTGGATTTCTTTGGATCAGTATATAAAAAATCCTGCCAAAATAGCTCAGTCAGGTTTGGCTTCTCGAGAAGACAAAGGCTGCGATGGAGGCTGCAGGAGGAAAGACTGCTTTGCAGATGAGCGTGTGGAGCTAGCTTGTCCTGTACACTAGGCTCTGGCTGGGAAATTTTATCTGTTGAGCAAGAGACTAGCCTGTCCGACTGCCCATAGCCACGTCAGGGATAACATAATATTCACAAATATTTCGGCCGACAGGGAGAGTCCGTATGAGGTGATGGGATCACAACCATGCTCTGTGTGGCTGAAGGAGGGCAAGAACAGTATGATTTTGTTGTTCTAATGCACGCAGCGTTGTTCCCACGATAACGGGTGTTTTGATTTTGCACTCAAGACTGCTTGTTTGGCTCATTCCCCATCTCCTTTCAGTATCTTGGTCCGGCCTGCTACACCAGAGACTTCGTCTCATCTCTGTACAACAAAGTACATGCCTCTGGCAGTTGAACAGGAAGCTTTCCCTTAGTGCTATCCAGGGATTTTTGTTTTCCTCTGTATTCGAGATGCGGCTTTTGTTTCCTGCAAAACCAGATGCTTTTAAGTCAAATGTGGAAAATGGTTTTGGAAAGGGCCTTGTTTCAATGACAGGACTCTTTGAGATACTTGCATCCCTATTTTTGGTATCTTCAAGTTGGAACTGCCTTTGGAAGAACTCTTTTATAAATGTCCATAACATTCATTTCAATGAATTGCAAGACATTTGGAGAGATCTGGAAACAAGCCTTTAGAAACCAGCTGGTGATGAAATATTCTGTAACGTTTCAGTTCTTTGGTCAGTAGACTTAAGGCAGAAATAAACGTATCTAAATGTTAGTGTCATTTACTAACACCCAGCCCTTCTCCCCCCAGATTAATTCACTCTCTTCCCTTTCCATTACTTCCAGCCATAACCCCAAATCTCTTTGCTCTTTCTTCCTGATGGCTTCCCCCCCCCCCCCCCTTTTTTTTATGTGCCCCATCTTCTGGTCTCTCAGCCTTCTTGCCATTGTGTGGCACCTCAACTGCAAATACAATGTGGAGGAAAGTGAAATGAATCTTTCTCCTAGGACCGGTATCATTCAGGCTCGTCATCAGTACTCATGACCAATATCATTGGTATTTTCCTGGTAGTTCTTCATTTTCACCTTCTTGCACCCCTTTCTGTTCTTATTGCTGAATAACATAGCTGAGCTTTCACTTTTTCTTGTCTGGACTACAGCAACCACTTCCTTGCTTCTGAACTTGCTCTGCTTTAAATGCTTCGGCAAAAGATGCTCTCTTCCTCTGCAGCTCTGATCATATCTTGTCCCTTCTTACTCTGTCCCAAATTCAGTACAAGCTTCTGGTCCTTTCCTTTAACCTCCTTCTGCCTTCCACTATGCTTCTTGTATTCTCAATTTGCCCCCAGTTTCACAGCTTCAGCTGTGAGTTGTCCTCTGTCCCTGTCGTCTTGATTTCTTCCGTGGAGTGCCCCATGCTTGTAATATTCTCTTGCCATGTCTCACTTAGTTTTTCTTTCTTTCTTTGGGACTATAGGTTAGTTTTCCTCAAAATTTCCACTCTTGACAAAGCGCTCTTCCTCTTGGTCTGGGTCTCACTGTCTCACCGGTCCTGTCATTGTGTGATTTGGTGATGGGTTTTATGGTTGGTATAAGCCTGATGATTATTTTTTCAGGTCAGAGTTGCTGTCATTTTAATTGTTTGCAGTGTCATGTATTTATGGCAACATAGAGGTAAGAATAGGAGTTACACTTTTGAAACGCAAACCTGTATGTGTTGACGCGTCTTGTTCGAGTTCACAGTGCCCAGCCACCCATGTATTTGGGACCATCCTGTCCCTCTGCGTGTGCTTCTAGCTCTCTCCCCTTAGAGGCACGAGTAGCTTTTCAGTAAAAGCCTGTCAGTCAACAGTTTTGAACTTGGTAGCTCTACTTATGGGATCCGAAGTCCAAAAAGTCCTGCAGGTGTGATGTAATAGGGCTGACTTGTACTGCGAATGCTTGCAGCTGAGAATGAGAGCGTTGCTGAACATACTCCAGTTTCTCTGGCAAGGGGCTCAAGGCCTGTGAGAACATCAGTCCGCTTACGTCCCTGCTATGGCCATCTGTGCTTGCCTGATATAAATGCAAGCCGCATGCTATGATGTTGGCTTATAAGAACAATGGCTAAGCTACAACATGTTCCGCAACTATAATTCAAGTACAGGAAAGCTTACATTAAGCTGGGAGTTGTGTATGCAGCACCCAGTTGTCTCCACAAGCTGTGTCCCCAGGCTGTGCCGGTATGTCTTCTTGTTTTAGAATTGCTGGCTGCACTTCATTGTTCCCTACAACCAGCCGTTTCTGTTCTTCTGCTGTTCACCCTGAGGTGTTGGGGGACTCTTTTTTGAGGGTTGATGTGCTGATTCTGCTAATGTGATTGGAGAATATATAAGGGCGTGCTGTTCCTCTTCCACAAGTGTATGGAATATGCGCAATGAAAATCCCTGTGCCTCTCCTGTCTTGTTCCCTCTGGGTAGATTTATGTTCATGGAGCGTCATCAAGTGCTCTGCTGACTATGTAAGCTGCTACTTTGCTCAGCGGTTTACCACCAGATACATCTGATAAATGTGCTTTCTGTAATGTTTATGCTTAGGTTATAGTGATTTTGCCTGCTTCCGGAGTCTAAACAAGAAATGCAATGAAAGTAGTCTCTAGAACACAACTTGCTGCCAGTGAGCTTCCGTATTCTGATCCTAATTTGCGTCCTGAGCTATTGAGGTTGGAGGAGAGAGATTTCATATTGCCCTTAACCATCTTAAAGCCAGATCTTGGAGGGGCAAAAAGTGAGTCCCAGCTTTGATCAGATCTTTTGGTGTGTGGTGGGGAGGGGCTCATAGTCTCAGGGTTACTGAATCCTTAAAGACCTTTCCTCAAGCACGGATGACTGCCTCTGGGTGCTGCGTCTTAAACTTCAAGTTTCTTATCTGCCTCTTGGTGCGGTCATGGTTTCCCTCTCCTGGAAGTGCACTGCTGATGGATGGGGAAGGTAACCTCTGTTCCCTCGTGGTCCTGGCCTGCTCATCTAGCTGGCTCAGAAACCTTCAGCTGCCTTCCCTTACGGTGCATCAGTGTCAATCACCCTTGTTCTGCCTTATCTTGTCTCCCTTGACAGTAGCTATTAATGGAAGAACACGGGGTGACCCAAACAGAGCACATGGCCACCATCGAGGCCCACGCAGTGGCCCAGCAGGTGCAGCAGGTCCATGTGGCCACCTACACAGAGCACAGCATGCTGAGCGCAGATGAAGACTCACCATCTTCGCCGGAGGATACGTCCTACGATGACTCGGACATCCTCAACTCCACAGCTGCCGATGAGGTCACTGCCCACCTGGCTGCAGCAGGTAAGGTCATTGACATGCTCAGCGTTTTCCATCCGATGTATAGTTTGTGCCAAGGTCGCAAGCAGCACTGGAGAGCAACAGAGCAGCAGGGTGATCTTTTTGCCAAATGGGATGTGGTGGATGTTTCCGTATTGCTCTAGCTTTAATAGGGCTTCATCGCAAGGTCTGCTGGCTGCTTGAATGTTGCTGGGTTGAGCCACATCACTTTATTTGTGCGTAACACGGAAGTCCTGGGAATAAGAGGTCAGGCTGGACAATACAAAGGCTACTGATACATGCTGCTTCCAAAAAGAAAACTGAAATGCCGGATATGTCAAAGAGCAAGCATATTTCACCCCCAAATTAAAAAAAACCACACACACAAAAATAACCCAGTAAATACTATGCAACCCTTCCTAGCCAGGAAGCTCACGTGCTAGGCTTCACCCAAGGAGATGGCACAAAGGAGTTGGCATATCTGGGACGGGGAAAATATTTCGGAATCGCAGACTCTTTCTGGAGAAGCCCCTGCCAGATGTCCTTGAGATTTGCCTTGTAATGGATCTGCCTTACTCGTTTAGAAATGCAATGATAAGTTAAGCCTTCACAAACTGGTCGGACTTCATGTCAGACTTTATCTGAGAAATAAAGCTCCTCATGCGCTTGATTGAATCTGTGAAGTTGTGGAAAGTGGCTAAAGTGTATCAGCACTTTTTAGACGCAGTAGATGTTTGTGCTAAAGGATATATAAAAGTGCTAAGCAGCGATTCCTTGCTCTGAACACCTTTCAATCTAGGAGAAGAACGTGCTTTTGAAAAAATTAGGCAACAAGGTAGGCCCCACATATCATAGGGTGCGGGACGCGCAGCAGGGTTGCCTTGAGAAATAGATAAAATCTTTAGGAGTCTTTGTGCTACGTTGTGAAAAGACAGTTGTTTCCCGAGAAGTCATTCTAAACATTTACGTTGATATGAAAGGAAAAGGATGATGCGCGTCAAGAAGGCCCAGCCTCGGGGGATAGAACAGATATAAACGGAGGAGAGGTGTTGGAGTAGAGGTTGTTGCCAATAACTAGAAGTTTATGCAGAAGAAGAATGGAAGGGAGGAAATGGGGACTAATGGGTGGAGATGCGCTTGAAGTTGAGGTTGGCAGGCTGCGATGGTCACATACGTACAACTGATGTGCGAAACCGTTGATCCTCGCTTGATGGGAGCCTTTTTTTTTCCTGGCTTTCCCCCTGCCCCAACTTTTTTTTTTCCCCCTCTACCTCCCCCC